TTTTGCCATCTCTTGTTTTATCGCTAAGTAGGCTATATTACTTCCGAATTTTCAGAGACAGACTAGTTTTCATCCGGAAATTAAACATTTAAGAACGAGTAAAGTTGGGCAAAATGAACGAAACAAAGGTCTAAATTATTTGAAAAAGAAGCACTTTTGCGCCTTGTCTAATGCTTTCATCCAGTAACTTCCACTGAAGTTCGCTTTATTTTCTGACTGTTTCTGCACTAAATAATACGGATCCACTCACTGAAACAGATCATATTCTGGTAAAAAATGCACACATATGTGTTTTGTCTTTCTGAAGAATCAAGTACTGGATTTACAGCTCTTGAATACCCATTCTCCGGCCATTACTTGCGGCTCCTGCTAAAATTTTGCTGAGCCCCTTCTTCGTACCCATCTTTATTGCATTTGATTAACACAATAAATTCTACGCCCAAAAAAAACTTTCAATTTTCAGTCCTGTGCAGCACAAATGTTCTGCAGAAACGTTATTTTGTAAACGAAGCGATGTACTACACCGTTTAAGTGTGTTAATTGCTTTGCTTAGAAATTTGAACTCTTTTCTTATCAGACTTTTCTTGCAGCTCCATGTTAGTGATATGAATGAAATTATTGAAATGAATGACAAGCGTCGGCCGAATAAAATCCAGGTCTTTAACACGCGCGGATAGAGAAAAACACGGTGCACCATGTGTTCGATTCCCATACATTTCTAGTGTCTTTTGAAATTCATAGGATTTGTTCGAATCAAAATCCGAGTTAAAAACAGTCAGAGCAACATGTAGGTTGATTCGAGGTTCGAAGTACCGCGCACGAATGGGATCTTCAATATATTTATATGCATATATATATATATATATATATATATATATAAATGCACATACATAAACGTAGACAAACAGACACATACCTGTGCACATAAGTACACACTCGCATAAATGCACACAGATGTGTGCACACCCACATACACACACAGACAAATGCACACAAACACATATGTTCGCGGACACACACAGGCAAAAACCCACACAAAAACACGCAAACATCCACGGACAAACATACACGCATACATATATGAGTATATACGTACACGTGCACATATAAACGTTTTGTGTTCACCGTGTTCTTTATTCCATTGCGTCAGTGCGATCGGGATTTCCGCTTTGCTGGAATTTTTGTGTATAGAAAGACTCACAGAAATGTCTCCTAGGAAAGTCCGCTTACACTAAAATACCGGAAAAGCGTGGTACGCACAGAGCAGTATCATGGATGGGGGCTGTGTGATGCTCTCAGCTGTGAGAGCTTCAAATCGATGAGTTTGCGAATTTTGTTTTTGGACGAAACACCGCCGTGATATGTCGCTCAGTGCACCGTCCATCTCATTTTGCCTCCTTCCGCTCAGCCTCTGTGTACCCTCCGCGCGTCCTTTTGCGCCATGCTGCTTCCTCATTGGCCCTCTCCTGGTCGTCACTCCGCCACTGCTTGACCATCTTTTTGTCCCCGTCCCTCTTCACTTCCCACATTCGTCATGTTTCCATTGTTTATCTATTTATCACTTTCTTTTTTTTTTTCATAAAAAAGTTTGATTTGCATCGACAGCTTTTTCAAGTTTTTTGCTCAGAAATTACTTTAAAAAGCGGCTAATTTTTGAATTCATCTCCTTGTGGGCTGCGCGATCTTCTCCCCGTCCCTCGCCACTGCTTGATTATTTTCTTTGTTCTCCCTCCTCCCCCGTCTCATCTTCGTTATGTCCCTGATGTTTTTTGCCTACTTAAAAAATCAAAAATAAATTAAAAATGATGCCCCTTAAGTATGCTTTCACATGCAGAAATTTGCGAAAGCACGAATTTCGTTGAAACGTTTGTAAAGGCGAAGAAAGTGCCAAAGTCAACTGAAACAAGGTTTTTTTAATTCCTTGCAATATGCACACAAATGTTTGCCTTGACCTGGAAGTCTTCCTGACCAGTTCTGTCATCTCAGAGTCTCGAACACGAAGAGTCACACGTGTCTTTTCAACACCATCGGATATAAGCGGTAAAGTATAGGGGCATGCCACTAACAAAGGTGAGATGCAAACGCCAGCTGTGACAGCGGAAGTGATAAAACGAATGGTACTTGAAGTGTCACTTCGTGAAGCAACCAGATATGCACCACGTCAGTGCCACGCAGGTTGCCGCTGCGACTACGAGAGGGAGCGAAATCCGATGACAAGGGATGTAACTCGCTTTGAACATAGCGGGTGAGCGGTGTCCTCGAAAAGGAAAATGACCAGTTTGGCAGTCTCCAAAAACTGGCCTATGCATAAGCTGTGGTTGCATGGAATGGCTCTACCAGATGTTCTGATGCATTCCAGTGAAAACGGATCTCTTAGCAACTGTCCCGACGATCTTGGTGGTATAGATGTGCTGACTAGTTTTAGGAACAAATCTTAATCGCGTGGCGAAACGCATTCTAGTTTCCAAGCTTTTTCACCTTATGGCCAGCTGCCTGCCTCAGATTGAATCACAAGACAAAGACGCCTAATTTAGCACTCTTTTCCC